TTTCATGCAGGCCCCCACATTTGTACCCTAAAGTTCAGAGTGGGAAAGCAGCCTTGACAGCAGCCGGTATCAAGCGGAGTGCCCCAAGGGTCGGTCCTGGGGCCGGTTTTGTTCAATATCTTCCTTAATGATCTGGAGGATGGCGTGGATTGTAACCTCAGCAAGTTTGCAGATGACACTAGAGTGTTCTCAGTGGTAACAGATGACAGAACAAGGAGTAATGGTCTCAAGTTGCAGTGGGGGAGGTTTAGGTTGGATATAAGGAAAAACTTTTTCACTAGGAGGGTGGTGAAGCACTGGAATGAGTTACCTAGGGAGGTGGTGGCATCTCCTTCCTTAGAGGTTTTTAAGGCCGGGCTTGACAAAGCCCTGGCTTGGATGATTTAGTTGGGGATTGGTCCTGCTTTGAGCAGGGGGTTGGACTAGATGACCTCCTGAGGTCCCTTCCAACCCTGATATTCTATGATTCTATTAAAAGGACTTCCACCATAAGAAGAATGAGACTTGCAATACTAACACACACTTTTGCCTTACCCTCTTCCTCCTCTTTATTTAAAAAAAAAAACCCTACTAAATGAATAAAAACATAACCCCTTTTCAAGAAGAGTGTTTAGACACCCCAAAAAGGTAGAAAAGCCAGACTCTCCATGAAGTCTGCTAGGAGCTTTGTTTTTGGTAATTGATTTTACTTGGAAGACAGTTGGATACAACAGCGATGGGCATAAGAAATTATAATGTATCAATGGGTATTGTACTTAAATAATGGCTAATGTGATTTCGGAAAAGTTTAAAATTAAAGGAGCAAAACTTCAGTTATTTATTTGTAGGTTTAGGAGAGCAGAGATGTATGTTGTTTTTGCATTTTAAAATCACCCTAACGCCCCTTGTCATCAGTTGGAAGTTCAGTGTGGATGGGAATGAATTGAATGGGCTTGTGACATAGCATCTGCCTCAGTTTCCCCATCTTGGTTGAATGTCTCTTCACAGTGGTCCTCCAGCTCCCAGTAATGTTGGTTGACTTAATGCTTTGGCTAAACTTTATTGAAGGAGAGTCTTCTTTCACATCTTCGTCCCATAACTAAACTGAGCAGGCTCCCAAATCTATCTCAAAGCTCAAAACTGGGGAGGCAGCTAACAAGGCAGAGGTGGACTGAGCCCAACTCCCTTAAAAGGCCACTCCATCCTGTGACCAGGCCTTAAGGCTTTTCGTTTTACAATTTTTTTGAAAGCTATAATCCACAAAATTAAATAACCTTTTTTATTAAAGTGACATAACCATCTACTTTGAACCTCTGGGTTCTTGTTCTGCATATCTGCAACTCTAATTTATTTATCTTTCATGCGTATCAAATTTTCCAAAGACCTTGAAACTAAGAAAATGTATGCCTTTTTAATTTTAACTTTCACTTACCTAAAATTTGCTTTTGTTACTTAACTCATCACGGGAGTTCCCCTTTATCCTTTAAGTAGCTAGATAAATATTTACTCAATGAGACTGTAAGTATAGGAATGAATTTCCAAAATTTTTTTGGAAATCCTTTGCTTTTTTCTTTTTCTTCATTCAGTGAATGGTGCTTTGTGTCTCACTCCTGATTGCCATCGTGATGATACTTTCTAGCAAGGGGCCCAGTTTGATGTAGGTCATTTTGATGAAAGGTTCTGTGTCCCATCAGAAAGGACTGAAAATCAAGGTGTCAGAGCTTCTGTGTGGTGACCGCTAATATGACTTTTGTTTTAATTTTTGGTTTAAGAATGGGTTTAATATGTTAACATTTCCCCCCACTAAATGGCTTGCCTTAAAACTAATCTTTTGTCAAACTTTGGTTTCCCATGCTTGCTATAACAATTCCTGGCTCTTACTAATAAGACAGTAGGTTCTTTCTCTAGTCCTATCGTGTGTCCATCAGAATAGATAGCTTGCAAGTGCCTTTTCACTATAATTGTTCGTTCTTATTTAAACCACTCAAATGTTTTGGCAGTCACTTCTTAGCAATTAGATGTAGTGATTAGAATCCTTTATTACTGGAGTTTTCCTTTAATTGCTATGTAAACTATGAAAATACATTCCAGTTGTTTATACTAAGTGATATAAATCTTCAATTACAATACCCTTCCAAACAAGATTTATAAAGGAAAAATAAGTGGTGGGTACAAGTGGCACTGCTATCCACTGTTAATACTGTGAAGCTGGTCTACCAGTATCTATCCCCAGTGTACTACATTGCTAGACATTTGAATCAGAATTACACATACAGCTGGTAATATTTTAACCATAAATACTGCTTTTGCACTTAATGTATTTTCTAGTATAAAAGTGTTTATGAATGACTTAGATTTTTTTTTTTTTTTTTTGCCTAGGAAGGAGAGGATGATATGGACAGTTATCAGGTAAATAGAGCAACTTTTATCTTCAAATATAAATATTTGTAGATCAGATTGCCTGGTCTAATTTTCAATATTAGATAGACATCAACATTGTACATCCCACTGTATGAGGCATGGATATCTTAACAGTTGCTGTCCCGAAGACTGTAAAATCTTACACAAATTTTTACACTATATAATATCTTACCCAGAATTAAGAGGCATTTTTCTCTCTGAAAGAATGGGACACATTAATGTATGTTTCCTGAACAAGGCATAGTTCCTCTTATCTTCTCTACTCTCTGACGTGCTTCCTCTCTGTATCTACAGCCTGTGGATTAGGATTGGCTGTGCTCAGAGCAGTCATAGGTATAATGTTTAAGATGCATAGAAGCAAAATGATTCACACTATTTTATGTTATGAACATGGTTTATATTGGACCTGGGAATAAAATATTGGCTAGTGATCAAAACGGGCCTACTAGTCAAGACAGGGATTCTATTCCTAGGACCACAACTCACTGTGACTTTGGGTTAGGTATTTAACCTCTGTTTTGACTATCACCCCCACCCCATCCCCCCGAAAATGGGGATTTTTTTTTAACTTCACAGAGTTGTTGGTGTGGCATAATATTTGTGATACATTGTCATTAAAAGTACACAGAAGTAGGCAAAAAACACCTCATGCTCATTGTTGCTGTTACCAGTAGTATAAGCATACAAGGATAGCAACAAGAGATCCTGTGTTTAATTTGGTCTTTGGCGGGCTGGAGATGGTTCTAGGTGCATTTCTACAAGACTATAGATGTTCAAAACCACGCAGGTTACGGTTTGCTTCAATCCTTTTCTCTTGATTGATTAAATGCCTAACAAAGGAGAAGAAATGTTTAGGGAAGTCTTAGGGGGGTGGTACAGTGAGGAATAATAGGATCAGATTAGGTAAGGGGGAATTCACATGTAATGTCAGGAACAATATTTTACCAAAAATAGCATGGCCCCAATCCGGCATTATCATCTAAGCAGCAGTCCACCCATAATTCAGGATTGGATCCTTAGAATTGAAACTCTGTAAGACAAGGACTGGTTCTTACTATGTGTTTGTAAAGTACTTAGCACAGCTGGGGGCTCTAATCCTGATTGTACTTTCCAGGCCCTCCCACAGTATTAGTGTTAACAATAAAGTGAGGCTGTGGGACAGTCTAAATCCTGTAAATTTCCTATTTCCACATTTATGTTGCCTAAATGAGTAGTAGGGAATATAAGATAACTGGAGATAGAGACTTGCCAGATCAAGTCAAGACTTGCAAGGATGGGGCAGTGGATGTGACTGAATGTGAGGAACAATCCTGTAATAAAGGAGAATAATGGGTAGACTAGATGACTTAATGGAGATCTCTTCCATATCTCATTTCTATAGTCCCCAAGGCACTAATTCAGGGGGAAAAGTGGCCAAAAATAAAAAGTATGAGCAGATGGATTGAAAGCTACATATGTTTACAAATGGGAAACATTGGTTTTGTTGGATCAGGACTTACACAACTTGCTTCATTTACATAGGACAGGGATTTGGAGAGACTGCGTCGGAAATGGCTGAACGTATTGACAAAACGTCAGGAATACCTAGATCAACAGCTGCAAAAACTCGACAGCAAACCTGGTAGGTGAAACATTATTGGTAGTGGGAGGGGTGAGGGTGTATGAAGGTATTTTTGTTTTTGTAATGTGTGTGAAATTAAGTAGCCAGGGGAAGGAACAACTGAATCTTTGAAATCGTCAGTTTGGGGAGTATAATGAGAACAAGATTCTGACATGCACTCAAGTCACAAATAGAGAGCTCTATAGAGAAAATCTGTGTATACTTACAGAATAATAGGTGTTTTTATTGAAACTGCCAGCAGGGTGACTAGATAAGGTGGGTTTTTTTTTTATAAAGTCAGTGGCCCACTAACATGTGGGTTGAGACCACCAATATGCATCACAAAGATAGCATTTTTTCCATTGCAGCTTGTCGTTCTGACTGACTGTCCTACTTTTCCAGATAAAACAGAAGATGATACAGATCGGGAGGCACAACTGTTAGAGATGAGGCTCACCCTTACTGAAGAGAGGAATGCTGTAATGGTTCCTTCTGCTGGCAGTGGGATCCCTGGAGCTCCAGCAGAGTGGTATGAATGTTACTATATGCCACAGTGAATATAAAAATCATGGGCAGCCTGTTCCTGGCTTGGATTGCTGCCATTTTCTGCACCACCACATGTGGATTATGTACGTCATGTGACAAAAGTGGTTAAATTAGGAGTGTTAGTGTGAATTAATTTCTTGGTCTTAATAACTGAAACCCAGAAACGCTCTTTAGTAAGTATCAGAGGGGTAGCCATGTTAGTCTGGATCTGTAAAAAGTAACCGAGTCCTGTGGCACCTTATAGACTAACAGATGTATTGGAGCATAAGCTTTTGTGGGTAAATGACACTCTTATTGACCAAAATGTAAATGACTTTTGAAAAAAAATAAATTAATATTTATTACCACTGCACTTAGCATTAAAAAAAAATTAGTTAATATGTTATTATGTAGTTCCTTCACTTAAAAGGCTGCTCCGTCATAATAAAACTCCATCTGCAGGAGCATTGTATGCTTCTGGCTTAAGCATAGAGTCTGTTTAGTCACCGGGTGTTGCACATAATTTTCTAAATATTAAAACCAATAAATTACACTGGACTGAGATTGCCATACTATAGCAGCTGTGGGTAACAACTGCAGTATAGGATGCAAAACAGTTTCTATTCTAAGCCACTGTATTCTAACTTGGGATGAATTTTTTTGTGCTTGGTCTCTGCTTTGGAGGAAAAGCTGATCAGCATTTGAATTGTTTGGAGAGGGAGCATGGTAGTGAAGAAGGGGACACAAGATATACACCTCTACCCCGATATAAAGCGACCCGATATAACACGAATTCGGATATAATGTGGTAAAGTAGTGCTCCGGGAGGGCGGGGCTGCACACTCCGGTGGATCAAAGCAAGTTCGATATAACGTGGTTTCATCTATAACACGGTAAGATTTTTTGGCTCCCGAGGACAGCGTTATATCGAGATAGAGGTGTATTGTGCAGAGTGTGAGGAAAACCTCTAACCACACTTGCTGACTGGACCCTGTTTGTTTGGTTTTTAAGTTGAACTTTGTTAAAACTAATGCTTTTGAAGCATAGGAAAGTCCTCACTCCTTATGAGGACTTTTTGTATGCCATCTTTCAAGTTAAAAAACTGTGAATATTTGAAAACTCCACACTGAGCATGCACAGCAGGAAACAGTGTAGTTGTAAGATACATACTTGGAAGAAATGTATTGTGAATGCATGGGCATCTAGGGAAATGTGCAAAGGCTGATTTCAAGCAACTTACTAACTTTGTTCTAATTTTTTTTTCTTACAAAATCTTTCTAAAATGTGTTATAAAAATAGGAAATTAAAGGGATAATATAGAATAAAGCATTAAGGTTGCACCTTTAAATCACAACATATCAGGAAGTTTAAAAGTTAAAATATAAACCGCAGTGTTAATTTGGACATGCTGCACATATGTATTACTTCCTATTCCTATTTTTATTTTTGGGTGCTTAACAATCAGCATAATAGTTGTGCAATATGGGAGAGTTAACTTTGCTTTTGGAACCTTAATATTTGCATTTCCTGACTTTTCACGACTAACAGTCCAACCTTCGGTCTCATTACTAATGCAGAGGTTTCTGCATTAATACGTGTACATGTCAGTGTAAATAAAGAAACTTTAAATTTGCTATTAGCAGTTTAGAGGCAAGAAAACATTTCTGAAAGCAGAGGTCAAATAATGTAATAATTGTGAGGGAGCTAGTATAAAAGAAGTACCAATTTAGTTTGAGTCCCTCTGTATCTGCAAGAGTAAATTAAAATAAAGCCATTTGCCAAGGTTATCATTGGCTTGACCTACAATCGCAGCTGTGCAGAATGTATTATACTGTTGGCTTGTATCATAAGGTACGTGTGCTGGATAAATCTGCTTCAGTTTAAATGCCACCATTGTCAATATCTTATGTTTTAGGACTCCAGTGCCTGGTATGGAAACCCATATTCCAGTTGTTTTCCTTGACTTAAATGGTAAGAGAGGACAGAGAGCGTTTGAAATAAACTTTGTCTAGCCAATAACATTATAGGACGTAAGAAGCAAACTAATAAAATGAAGAAATTCCTTGAGTGGCAGGTTTATTAATGTGAAAAGACTATTAGAACTACATTTATTTCATCCAACTATATTGTTTAATACTCCAGAATACACAGCAATTACATACAGAATGAACAATACATTTTTATCCTCCCTATGTTTTGCCAACCTTAAACAAGTGAAAAGACAGGAAGAAGGGAGGTATAAAATAACAAAGGGAATAAAACTTAGAAGCTAACAATAAAAGCCAGTTGTAAATGCGGAATAATCATTCAAAAAGAATGGTTCTAGTGGAGTCCCACAGGGATCTGTTATTGGCCGGTGCTCTTCAATATCTTTATCAAAGATCTGGAAAAAAATTGCTGATAAAGTTTGCATATGACACAAATGGCTGGAATCATAAGCGAGAGTAGGTTAGTTAGGCAGAGTGATCTTTATCATTTGGTATACTGGGCTCACTTGCCTTTTAATACATCCAGATACAAGATCATACATATAGGGACAAGGAATGCAGGCCACACCTACAGAATGGGGGACTGTATCCTGGAAAGTAGTGACTCTGACCAGGACGTAAAGGTTCTAGTGGATAAGCAGTGGAACATGAGCTGCTAGTGTGATGATGTGGCTAAGAGGGACTGACATCGTCCTTGGATGTATAAGCATCAAATAAGAGTACAGAGGTGGTGTTATCTCTATATACAGCATTTCTGTGACCATTAGTGTGATACCATTTCCAGTTGGGGTGTTCACACTTTAAAAAGGATAATGACAGATTTTGTAAGGGTTCAGAAAACAGTTACGAGAATGATTCTGGGAAAACTTCCTTATAGTGAGAGACTTCAGAAGCTCAGACTATTGGCTTGCCAGAGAGAATGTTAGGAAGTTACTCAATCATGGTCTGTAGGTACATGGGAAGATTTATGATTGTAGGGAACTCTTTAGTTTAGCTGGCAAAGGTAGGAAAAGATCCAGTGGCTGGAAGCTGAAGCTTGATAAACTCAAGACTATAAATATGGCACCGGATTTATTTTATTTTTTTTAACAAGTGAGAGGAATTAACCATTGTAACCACTTACCATGGGTGTAGTGGATTCTCTATCATGTGAAGTTTTAAAATCAACATTGGATGTCTTTCTAAAAGATGTATGGTCTAGGTCAGCTAGAAGTTATGGGACTTGCTACAGGAATTATTGGATGAAATTATCTGGCCTTTGTTATGCAGAAAGTCAGATTAGATTATCATAATTGTCCTTTCTAGCCTGAAAATCAATGCAAATAAAATTGCTGGGATTTCAAAGGGAGTTGGGCACATGTTCGGTTTCTTTGAAAATTCCAGCCTAGATGAATAGTAAACTCAAGGAATTCACAAGCTGAGAAGTGTCTGATAAGGGATGTAAAGAAGGAGGGAGATAAACTGTTTCAAATATATAATATAATTGAATAAATATAAGTGTGCTTTGATATTGGCACTGGTAAGTACTAGAATGACCACCTAAGCTGAGGCCCTGCTAACATAACCACAGTTCAGTGACTGACCACATGTAGCTCGACCAGACAGGAACACATTGTTTTTTAAATTGTTCCAGCTGAAATTGCTATAGGTTCCTTGCCCTAGATAGCCCATACTGAAGTTCTAAACAAGGGTGTGACACAATTTGTAACCACATTAGCTGTGGATGCAAGTAATGTAACTGCTTTTCTGTAACCAAGTCTATAACAATTTCAAACACTGCTACAAGTCCCAGGGTAGGAAGGACCTCAGATAGCACACTTCATACCAAAGGCTCCCAAACCATAACCACACTCCCTGTACAATGCAACACAACAGTTTTAGGCAAGGTGTAAAAGATACCCTATTGAAATGAAACTAAGGTGGAATTTTACTTAGGCAGAAAATAATTGTCCAAACTGGCATTTGGCCAGTACACAAAAATTAATGCCGTTACTCTTGTGCTGTTTTGAATGGAGTACAGTTCTTGTTTCTTTTAACATTTTTGAGTCTTCTGTGCTCCTAGCGGATGACTTTAGCTCTCAAGATAACCTTGATGACCCAGAACCTGGTGGATGGGATGCTACTCTCACTGGGGAAGAGGAAGAGGAATTCTTTGAATTGCAGATTGTGAAACACCATGAGAGTGAGGTAAGCAAAAGCACAGCCCAGAATGCTTAAAATCAGGAGTCTTCTCATTTCTTTAACCTCTTCTTAACCGGGCTTGTCTACTGAGCGAGTTATTCCAGAATAACTATTCCTCTTCCAAAGTGGATTAAGATAATTCACAATAAGGCACTCTTTTATTCTAAAATAAAAGCGTTCATACATGGAGTTAATCTGTTTTTAATTCATACCATACCTAAATCTGGATTAGTTTTCATGTGTAGGCAAACTCTTACCTAGACATCACAGGAGTGCATCTAGACTGACATAACAAGTATACAGCTCTTGTACTTTCTAAGGCTGATTGTTTTTAAATTGTTCTCTAAGAATGGAACTTTATTATATTCCCCCCCAAAAAACTACATTAAAGTGGAGTTGCAGTTGTTTGGGTGCCTTAACTGTGCATTTCCATAGCTTAACATGTTTTGATTTCTTTTCAGTGTAACCTTAACTCTGAATTTCCTGGTTTTGGGATAATTGCAACATTCCTGTAACTACCTTTTTTTTTAACTTTTAAATTACTGGTACTTACTCTAAACTTTAACTCCAACTTAACACAGTTGTTTTTGTCTGGGAATTTCCTCAGACTTCTAAAATTATTAAAAATTTTCTGCATGCACTTTAAACAAGAAACCCAAAGAGAGTGCTGCCATGTGATATTTCTAATTATTTGAAGATGCGTAGTATCAACTTTCAATAATTTTATTTTTATTTTATGAGCAGGGAAATTCCTTTTTTCCCCTCAAGCCTAATAGGATTTCTGTATTTTACGAATATTTTTAACACTGTTCAGGCAAAATATTTCTCAGCTAACAAGCAAAAAATGGGTGTTTTTAAGTGAAGTATACTGAAATTTGTCTCCCAAAGACTGGCATTGTAATCAGTTCTGCTCTTTCTGAAGTGTTTTCATAATTAGCAAGATTGAATGGTCCTGTCCTCTTAAAATGTATAGTCAGAAATCTAGGAGGTTTGTAGCTCTTTTTCAAAGAGAAATGGTCTTGAGTTTTAAAGAAGTTTCAATTCTTCTTTGGGTGCTGGTCCCTATGTGTGTTCGACACTTGGGTGCGCATGTGCCTGAATCCATACATTCTAACAAGCAATGTCAGTTGGCCTGCACATGCGCATTAATTCTCCTCGTGCTCCAGACCAAGGGCATAAGAGGCAGTATTGACCGACACCTCTCCAGTTCCTTCTTACCCATCGCATGCCCTGACTCAGAATCCCTGTATCCATAGATTTCTCCAGCTTTTCTTTGGTAGCCTGTAATAGATATTGTAAATAGTTTTATAGTAGTTTAGTTAGCTAGTATAGCTTGTTCTTTCCCCATACCAGAGACACTCTCCCTGAGATCTGGGGCTATGCCCAGAGCCTCAGGGTTCAAGAACTGTCTCTTGCCCTCACTCCTTCTCCATGAGCACTGATCACCAACACTGTCTCTGCTACTTGGGTAAGATGCACATTCCGGCAAAGTGCAGCATCTGTTGCTCGTTTCCATCACAACCATGTGAAACTTATGACCTTCGCTTAAGGAAACACCTTATGAAGAAGGCAATGAGACCTCACTCTGATCCAGGCCACGGAGACACCCACGCATGCTGTACATTGGCTCCATCAGATGAGCAGTGCCCCCGACATAAGCTTAGAAGCGGAGTCTACAGATTCTAAGCCCAAGGACTCTTCCACGGCTTCCCGTAAGAGTAGGGGGCACTTTCATAGTTGCAAGGACAGGCCCCTGTCCAGGTGTGTCCATAAGATATCCCTCCCAAAGCCTGTCCAGGCTGGGTGAGCCTTCGTTCGTGGATCCTATAGGTCCAGGATTTTGGAAGTCAAAATGTGCAAGAAAAAGGATCTGTCACTGGCTCTGGCTTTGAAACACAAGGACTGACATCGGTTGGTTCCGTCCAGAAGTGCTGGAACTAACTCTTCATTGATACCAGCCTTCCCTTCAGAGGACAACCCAACTACAATTTCCTGGTTCTGACCATTGAAATACCCAAAATGCAGGACATACAGACACCTACACAATACCAGAGGATATATTCCTCCCTTACCCTCAGCCTCCTCTCTCCAGCCCAGTCCGCCAGAGGAAAATTGCTTTACAGGAGGACAGAACTGTTTTGGTGACACAAGAACCATCCCCTCTCTACCCCATGGGCAGGAGCATCCACCCTCATATACTGTCCACCTCACCAATGAGGAGAGAGCAGTTCTCAGACTCAGATGAGTCAGGCACCCCAGCCAGTCCATCTCCTTCTAGAGATCTGAGCCCTGATAGAGAGTCGAGGAGACCTGGATGTCATCCTCCCAGATATTACTTCCCCGGGGACCGCTGGTACCCAGTGCTGTGAGGTCTCCCCCATCTGATTGATCCCTCCTTTTGGTTTTATTGGAGCTCGTGGAAACTCTGTGGCAGACACCCCAGATCCGTCCAGGAGTCTACAACACCTCTCCTCGGCACCCACCAGATCTGTCACAGTATGAGGAGGAGGTGGACACTGATTCGGATCCACAGGCATCAATGGGAATCTCATCCTAGCTTCAAATGAAGCTGTCACTCCATCCTCACTATCTCTGCTGGACGACCATAGGCATACCAGGAGCTACTGCAGAGGATAGCCAATGGCCTCCATATAACACTGGAGAAGATCCATGATTTCCAATACCATCTTCTGGATATTTTGTAGGCTGCAGGTCCAAGCAAGATGGCGCTATCATGGAGCCAGCGATAGTGGTCTGGCATACCTCCACCTCATGAGCCCCCATGCCTAAGAGGGCTGAGAGATACTATTTTGTCCCTGCCAAAGAAGCTGTATGTCTTTTCTCCCACCCAGCACCCAAATCCCTTGTGGTACAGGCAGCCACAAAGAGAGCAAGGTTACAACATCCCAACACTCCGGCTCACCAGGGCTCAAAGAGGTTGGACGTTTTGCAGGAAAAAAGATCTTTTCCCCTACAAGCCTACAACTCATATCGCGAACTGTCAGGCCTTGTTAGCAAAATATGATTTTAACAATTACTCCAGGCTGGCTGACTTTAAGGACAAGCTTCCCCCTGAGTACAGAGCCCAATTTCAGTCTTTGATAGAGGAAGGCAAGTTGTTGGCAAAGGCATTTCTTCTAGATGCAGTGGATACTGCATTCAGAGGCTTGGCCACTGGTATAGTTGTGAAGCATGAGTCTTGGCTTCACTCTTCAGGGCTCCCCAAGGAGGTTCAGAACGCCATACAGGTCCCGCCTTTTGACAGGCTAAATTTGTTTAATGGAGATCGGATGAGTCCCTACACTTGCTGAAAGACTTTCGGTCAACTCTACACTCCATGGGAATTTACACCCCAGCCCTGAGGAGACAACACCAGAGGCAAATGTATAGGCCAAGACCAACCTCTCCACAGACATTATACAACCCACATCCAGCCACATCCCCCGTAAACATCAGGCTTCAGAGACCTCAATTTTCAGCTACCATAAACTCTGCCTATTCTCAGCCACCAATTAAGGGCTACTTTTGACACCTCAGTTGATATCCTTCACTGCTATTGATGCCACCTACCTTTACCCACTTTATCTTTGGGGGCTATCTCTCACTTTTCACCCACAATTGGGACTCTATCACGACTGAGAATTGGGTCCTAGAATTTGTCCATTAAGGATATTCCATAGAGTTTCTGTCTCTCCCTCCCCACAAATCCCCTTCCTGATCCCCTTCAGGGACTACTCTCATGAAAAGAAGAACAGGAGACTCCCCCCTCCAACAAGGGGCAATAGAATGAGTGCCATCTTAGTATCAAGAAAGTTCCTTTGGTTTCTAGTGGATCGGGAACGTTTCCAGTTCATAGTCCTTCCCTTAAGACTAGCAACAGCACCCAGAGTATTCATGAAGGTCTTCTCTGTGGTTGCAGCCCAAATGAGATGTCAGGGTACACAGTTTTCCCATATCTTAACAACAGGCTCTTAGCAGGCGGCCCCAGCCAAGATGTCAGATCGGCGACTTTGTTCCTGCTCCATCTTCTAGCAGTGCTGGATGTCTGTGCAAAGAAAGAAAGTCTGTTTTATCACTCACACGGACAACAAAGTTTGTCAGAGCAGTCTCTATTTCAGCAAGAGCTTTCCTCCCCAGAGAAAGATTTCAGTTAATGAGCAATCTGATAGCACAGATTACCAAGGACTATGGTCAAAGTATGCCTTTCTCTTCTAGACACATGGTCTTGTGCACTTATGTGACACCATTCACCAGACTTCATCTACAATGCCTACAAGTCTGGCTTTGGTTGGTCTACTCACCAGATGAGGATCACACCAACAGCAGAGTGACCATTCCCATCAGGATCATGGCCTGTCTTACCTTGTGGTTAAATCCAGAACAAGTGATAGTAGAAATCCCCTTCAGCGCTCCTGCCCCCAGTCCACTTTCCAACAGATTCATCCCTTATGGATTAGAGTGCTCACATGAACAACCACACCGTAAAAGGTACCTGGACCCCACAAGAGGCCAGACTGCACATCAATCTACTGGAACTGAGGGCAGTCTGCTAAATCTGCTTATACATTTACTTCTATATCCAAGTAACATCAGACAACAGCAACATGGTCTTTTACATAAACAAACAGGGCAAAGCAAGATCTCTTCCTAGAAGCAGTCAGGCTTTGGACTGGTACATCAGAAACCACATCACCATCCAAGCCACATACCTTCCAAGTGCTCAAAACTCTTTAGCAGACAGACTGAGCAAACATTTCTCTGCAGACCCTGTGTGGGGAACACCTCAGTTGGGCTGCGAAGGGATCCCAATGGACAGGAAATTTCCCCTGTACTGCTCCAGAGGAGCTATGAGTCACTCCCAGGGCAATGATCTCCTGTTGTCATGGCCAGAAGAACTTACATATGCCTTTCCTCCTATTCCCCTGCTACCACAGGTCTTGAGAAAGATCCATCACAACAGTGCCAGAGTTGTTCTTGTAGCACCTAATTGGCCCAGACAGTTTTGGTTCCCAGAACTCCTGAGAATGTCAGTCCCTCCTCCTATCAGGATCCACCCCTTTTCAGATCTCCTTACTCAGGAAGAGTAAGCACCCTGGCAGGCCGGGCCAGTTTATTTACCTGCTGACGCGGCAGGTTCGGCCGATCGCGGCCTCCACTGTCCGTGGTTCACTGTCCCGGGCCAATGGGGGCGGCGGGAAGTGGAATTTTTAGTTGCTGTTTCCTCAGCCAAAAAGTCGTGGAAGATGGGAATCCTCATGGCAGACCTACCCTATACTGTTTCTCACAAGGAAAAAGGTCTCTTTTCACCACCACCCTAAATTCCTGCCCAGTTATTTCTGAATGCCATGTCAACCAGGCCATCCACTTATCTGTTTTCTTCCTGAAACTCCATGCCTCTGCTGAAGAGAGCAACCTTCATTCCCTTGATGTTGGACATGCCTTGGCATTCTACCTGAAAAGGACCAAACCTATCAGAAAATCACGAAGGCTATTTCTCGTCATAGCAGAAAAGTTGCAAGGACAAGCTCTATCCTCTCAGAGAATCTAAGTGGATTTCTGGGGGAATCACTGAGTTCTACCAATTAACTCATATTCTTCCAACTGATGGGGTAAGGGCACAATCCATGAGAGCACAAGGTGCTGCTACAGCATCCCTGCAAGAAGTACCAATACTGGACATATGTAGAATGGCTACCTGGAGTTCCATTCACACATATACAAAACATTTTGTACACTAGTTCAAGCGGATACAACAGTGGAAACTACAGTAATTCAAGCATCTTTGCTGCCAGGATCCTCGCACCCTCCTCAGTCTGAATACTGCTAGTCAGTCACCCATGTGTGGAACAAGCATAGGGACCAGCACTCGAAGAATTGGAGGTCACTTACCTGTAACTGGATGTTCTTTCAGATGTGTGGTCCATGTCTATATTCCCCTTCATCCCCTTTGCTTCGGATCCTACTGGATTCACAGTAAGAAGAACTGGACAGGCGTCAGCCCACGCTGCCTCTTATGCCCTGGGTCTGGAGCATAAGGAGAGCTGCTGCACATGTGTGAGCCAATGGACACTGTTTGTTAGAATTTATGGACTCAAGCGCATGATGTGCATGCACACCTACATGTGGAATACAGTTAGGGACCATGGATCTGCAAGAACTTGCACTTACAGTTAAGTAACCTCCATTTTTAAACTCAAATATCTTTGTTGGTAGACCAATGTTGATTGTAAAATGACCTCTTATAAGACAGATGTTTGTTTTTTACCAGTTCTAGGTGAACTGGAAATTTTTTGAGTTAAAATTTATGTATTCGAGGAGATGCTTTTTTTCCTTTGCAGGTGAAAGTAGAAGCCTCCTGGGATTCCACAGTCCATAACTGCCTTCAGCTCAGTAAAGGAACAGCAACAGATGAAAGAGTTTTTCTTATTGTGAGAGTGACAGTCCAGCTCAGCCACCCTGCAGAAATGCAGCTAGTGCTACGCAAACGTATCTGCGTTAATGTCTACGGGAGACAGGTACATCTTTTAAAACCCTCCAGTGAGTTTTGACTCCCTGTCAAAGTGATGAGAGACCTGCGGCAAAGAGCTTTTGACTTGCTTGACACCAGAGTTCAGTAATTCCTGGCCCCCAGTCCTGTGCTCAGACTCTTAGAATCATAGAATATCAGAGTTGGAAGGGACCTCAGGAGGTCATCTAGTCCAACCCCCTGCTCAAAGCAGGACCAATTCCCAACTAAATCATCCCAGCCAGGGCTTTGTCAAGCCGGGCCTTAAAAACCTTCCAAGGAAAGAGATTCCACCACCTCCCTAGGTAAAGCATTCCAGTGCTTCACCACCCTCCTAGTGAAATAGTGTTTCCTAATATCCAACCTAAACCTCCCCCGCTGCGACTTGAGACCATTGCTCCTTGTTCTGTCATCCGCCACCACTGAGAACAGCCGAGCTCTTAGTCCGTGCCTCACTTCACTGCAGCATTTTAACACTGGTGTGCCCCTTGTTTTGGTGGATTTGATAGGTTACCAACATCAGGTTGCAGGGCTGCCCGGGGGAGGAGGGGGAGAAGTGGGGCAATTTGCCCCGGGCCCCACAGGGCCCCCATGAGAATATAGTATTCTATGGTATTGCAACTTTTTTTTAATGGAAGGGGCCCTCAAAATTGCTTTGTCCCAAGCCCCCTGAATCCTCTGGGTGGCCCTGTCTGGTTGAGATGGAGGTGCATATTTTTAAATGTTTTATGGGAGCTGTGTGTTTGTAATTCTGAGCCTGGCAGGTGTCCCTTGAGGAAAAATGAAATTAACAGTGGCCTTCTAAAAAGAGTCTTTAAACAAACTCTTAGCCAGAAGCATCTAACAAAAAGAAAAGTGTCCAGTTCTACTCTTGATGTAGTTTTTCTTTGGCTAGATACATTTGTTTGACATGTTGAAGTGGTCTGGGTCCGTTTTGTAGAAGCTTTGAAAATACCAAAATAATGTATACATTAATCTTTAGTTCCTCTTCCTCACAAGTCCTGCTGGGGGCTAGACCTGGAGAATCAAGAAGGTGGGATGCTGCATTTCACCCATCCTCAGCAGCTTCAGCTCTGTACTTTGGTACACCGTCATAAAGAAGCATTAGAAATAGCAACAACCAGCTACTGTTTTGATTCCTTGTGTTTACTTGATACTGATTTGCTCTGTCCTGTGTGGCAATAACTAGAGCAGGGGTCGGCAACCTTTCAGATGTGATGCGCTGAGTTTTCATATATTCACTCTAATTTAAGGTTTCGTGGGCCAGTAATACATGTTAACGTTTTTAGAAGGTCTCGTTCTATAAGTCTATAATATATAACTAAACTGTTGTATGTAAAGTAAATAAGGTTTTTAAAATGTTTAAGAAGCTTCATTTAAAATTAAATTAAAATGCAGAGCCCCCCACCCCAGACCCGGCCAGGACCCAGGCAGTGCGAGTGCCACTGAAAATCAGCTCGCATGCCACCTTTGGCACGCGAGCCATAGGTTGCCTACCCCTGAACTAGAGGCTTCACGTTGCTAGTAGTCTGTGTGATAACTTCAGTGTCTTGGAAAATTACTTAATTTTTTTTTTCATAGCTTTTGTATGACGCTGCTAAATAGTGGAGAGAATTTTTGTTTCAATATCATTAGTATTAATCTGGTGAATAGTCTCTCTAATCCCAATCATTTTACATTGGCTAGAGTTTAGTAGGTGTTACCCTCATGGCCAGGAGCTCATGTTTTGTGGATTAGTGAAATTTGTCTAATTTGCCGATGTATCCTAAGTGAAACCTGAATTACGTTTTCCCCATCAGTAACGTTCACTACATCTGTTTCTGGATACTGACCTCTCTCCCAGTCTGAGACATTTAGGGGTATGCTAGCAACAGTTGTGTACACGTTGCCATCTGTGGCTTCTCAGAACGAGAGTCCCACTTGACCTTTTATTTTCTCCATTTGACCTGTTCTGCCATGATGGAAGGTACAGGGGGAGGAACAAATGGAAGGCAGGAGCTCGATGAATGGTCTCATTCAGGGAATGATCCCTGAAAATCTTCATTCCTTGATGAAGATGGTGGGAGCAGGGAGATTCTGCTCAACACTGCCCCAAAATTTGGCTTTCCATGCCGGCGACAGTATCGGATAAGGTGGGGGTGCTGAGCTGCTCCTCTGTTGGCACTACAGGAGGCAGAGGCAGAGTCAGAGTGAGGCCAGAAGAGGCATGGCCAAGCTGCAGACAGAGCCCTATGGACACAACTGAGCTGCTGACAGTATTTGGAGGAAGAGAGGCACAGCACTAGATGTCTGACTAGGTGTGAAGTCATTCCCAGAAAGGAAACAGTGAAGCAAATTTTCCATTACCTAGAACTGGGGGAAACCCATTTCACAGAAATCATTTGCAGGCTCCATTTATCATACAGATTGTATTGAGTCTCCAACAATGCCGATTTCAACCGCAAGCTGAGTCTATTTGCCAGCACAAAAATTCAGCCTTCTCACAAGGTTTTTTTTAATCCCCAGTGATAACCTTTCCAGGCTGTTCAGACGGAGCAGCATCTTTCAGTGACTCATCTCTGCATTAATTCAAGAATCCAATTCTTAACCTTGCAACGGCACCGAGTCCGCATAAACAATGACCGGGCCCTCTTAAATCATTCGTCATAACGATCTCTCTGGTCAAGAATTTAATGTCTGTACATGTCAATATTCAAGAAAAGTCACCCTGGGCTCTCCAAAAAAAAAAAAAATCTAGAACCAGCCAATCCCTTGTTTTCTAGTTAAGAGGTCACCTTGCTGTGTAGAAAGATAATCCCCTCTTTACATCTGTAATGAAGACAAAAATAACTGATTTCGTCTTAATTTGGACTAAAGTCCTTTGAATGCTGCCTGCATGTTTTGTCTGTTCTGTTATTTGCCATATACAAACATTTGCTTTTGTTGAAAATGTTATTTTAAAACAGTTTTTTTTTTTAACTGAAACAACCATTTTTTCCCCCTTTTCCTCCTTCCTCTATAGGGTTTTGCACAGAGCTTCCTGAGAAGAATGTCTCACCGAAGTTCCATTCCTGGCTGTGGAGTCACCTTTGAGATAGTCTCTAATATTCCAGAGGTGAATAACTAGGAATTGAAAATATCTGAAACTGTCAAAGGGTCACCAACTTCTTGAAATCTCACATCTGTTTGAATATTCATTGCCTATTGTTGCTACAACTAATAACTAAGATTCCTAGAACAGAAAGAGATTAGACAAACTGGTTTTTTTCCATGTTGCGCATTTGGCAGCAATCTGCATTGTTTACCCTGTGTAGTCAGTTTTCCCTCCTTGTTTGTGTGGGTCTTTCATTCAGCAATGGGGAAGAGAAATACTGTAAGAAACCTTGTCCTGGGATCTGGAAACAGGTTTAGTACCTGACTACTTTTACTTTTTTTTTTTTTTAAATTAGAATCTAAATTTCAAGTTGAGGCTGCCCCTTAATAAATAATGCCTTGCTTTAACCCTTCAAGCACTGAGCCTCGTCATACTTTCCTTCATTGCCTCCACTCTTGCCTTCGTTCGGTCAAAACAGATACCCAGTAACAGCCTCCAAGAAAGCACTGCAAGAGACAGACACCCCTCACACCCGAAGTGCGTCTGAAGCTGTAGTCTCTGTTTTGTCAACTTTCTTCGTTTTATTTCCCTTCATACGATAGCTTAGTATGTTGTAGGGAGCAGGCAAAGACCCAAATGTGGCTGACTTTAGTGTTATAAAATATCTGAAGACAGACATTTTACTCCTGGGGGAATTCTGTGCACAATATATAAAAATTCTGTATATTTTACTTGTCAAAATAACACAATATAATCGTGCCAGTTTCAATTATTTTGGTAATTTATTTCAAAATACCTGTCAGCAAGTATGTCTGTAACAATACAGAAAACAAAAAAGGTTAAGGAAATGTTTTTGACAAATAGATTCCTTACTAGGCATATTAGTACAGAACTTTGAGTAATAATTCATTTAAACTACAATACAGAACCGTATTTCCCACACCCCTCAGAAGCAGTGCGAAGGCTTGGGAGAGTCGGGGGTAATGGAGGAGCTGAGGGAGAGGGAAGTAATTGCTGGGAAGGAGCCTGGGAGTGAACCTGGAGGGTTGTGAGGTGTGGGTGGGAGAAGTATGGAACAGGGTTTTTGTGGGGGAGGGATTGTTAGGGAGTTGGGGAGCTTTTCCCATGCAGACCTGGGCTGACCTCAACACCTCTCATTTAATCAGGCACATCTGTCCCAGTCCCCATTTGGCCTGCACCCCAACTTCCTCCTATACCCATGTGGCCCTGCACCCCCACTCAATGTTGTCACGCCACTAGCTCCTGTGTCTCCACCCCAGTTTGTCATCTCCCCCCCCAAACTAGCCCTTCTGAACTCCAGTCTGTGTGATCACCACCACCCCACCCCCAGCAGCTCTGGGTGCCCTGCTCTGTCTCCCTCCCCCCCCATCCCATGCCTGCTCACCTGGCCCTGCAGGCAGGGCAATGTGAGGAAGGCAGCATCTGCCCCCTCCCTCTCCATGGCGGGCTGCTCCAGCATGTGAGCCAGCTGCCCTCTCTTCTGGCACCACATTAGCCCCCGGCGAGCAAAAGGTATAATTGAAGCATGACCCCTCTTGTGGCTTCCCTTCACCTCCTCGAGTCCCCGTCAGAGTCAGTTATTCTGCAGGGGGGAAAATATCTATGAGAGATGTTAATGCTGCGCTTGTGCAGTGGCGCATGACTAGCATTTACATTGCTTGATGGTGATATCTCCCCATTAAACTCTGCTGACAAGAAAAGAGAACCATACCCAGCATTTACAGCCGAAGGGTTCGACTCGTCAAACACAATAGGAGCACTCATCTAGCTTCTATGCTGCAGGAGCTCCTAAAAAGTGTTTGTTGGGGATTCCTGCATGTGCTGCAGAAGTATATTAATTTCTTATCTCATTTAGGGGAGGATTCCATGTTGAATCAACATCATCCATTTTTTCAAAGCCTTCCTGTGGTCTGTACAGGAAAGAGATGTATTGTTTTTTGGTGGGTTGGCTGTATTTTCGGTGGTTGTTTTTTTTAATTGGAAATATTTCCTTTAAACTAGGCAGCCTTTCTTTCCTTCTTCCCAGGATGCTCAGGGAGCTGAGGAGCGGGAAGCGCTAGCAAGGATGGCCGCTAATGTTGAAAACGCAGCTTCGGCTGACTCAGAAGCCTATATTGAAAAGTACCTGCGGAGTGTGCTGGCAGTGGAGAACATTCTCACCCTGGATCGTCTTCGCCAGGTATCTTTTTTTTTTTTTTTTCTCCAGTGCCAGAGTTGACATCAATAAATATAATGACTGAGAACACTGTTATGATAGAAATCTTTTTATAAGTGCATGCAATGGCTTAATAAACAAGAGGGTCACTTCAATATATGGTTCAGCTCTTCAGAGTGTTCTGTGACAGACATCCAAGGAAGCAAGTGCAGGAAGCTCTTTAGTTACTCCTTCTAAATTGTATGCAATACAGATGAGATTGAAGGCTTGCTATCAGTTTCACTGTCCATTCTGGGTTTCAAAACACACTGTGCACTGCCAGAATTGTATTTCAAAAAAGATAGTTTTGTGTGGAGTTGGCTTTAAAATTAAACCCAGAGTTTCAGAAAGCAAGTTTTCTGAAGTGATTAGCAAACCTTGTGTCATCTTGTACATGCTATGCGTTGGAGTAACCAAGCCTGTTCTCTCAATACGTGAGACATTGATTAGGTTAATCGTAAGTATTGTAACTTGATCTGTTTACCAGGAAAAACGCAGCAGAGGGACACATTTATGGAAAATTTGTATTTCTGGGTATAAGTTATGCAAGGAAGAGAGAAAGTCATCCAAAACAAATCTGAGCATGTGCTTGCCCCCTATAAATTAACAATAAAGCGTGCTGCACTCTTAAGTATTGAAAGCAAGTTCTCTGTCAAATATAATTACTGTAAAGGATTAAAATAAGAGCTCAGCTAGGAAAAGGAGTCTTACTGTTCACATCTGTTAGAGATATAGCCCTCTCATAGATACAGGGCTATAGATGCTCAGTGACCTTCTAAAGATTATATAAAATTCTAGCCTACCACTGAGCAAACAGTTACTAGTGGACCAAACTTGCCCACTCCCTGTAGACTTCCTACTATCGGCATACTATATGAGACATTAAAAATTAAATTATGAAGTCTCCTTTCGTCTATGGTGCATTAGGGCGGGCTATATAGAAATATTTTCATGTACTGTATATGCAAAACTACACTTGGATCACGGTTTAGATGCTTGTAAAGTGTTTCTTTGTCTTGACTGGTCTGCAGGAGGTTGCGGTGAAAGAGCAGTTAACGGGGAAAGGAAAACTTAACAGGAGGAGTCTGAGCTCTCCCAATGTCAATCGGGTAAGTATGCCCCAGTTGCATCAATAGATCCATGAGGAGGGCAGACCATACAACTGACAGGGCCCTAAGCTGTCCAGATGGGAGAATAAGACGATGAGTTGCCTCTGGTCTGATCCCCCAATTGCACCATTGGTGGTGGGGGAGATAAGCCAGCACGTGAATTCCTGAGCAGAGAGAAAACCCAGAAATTTCCATATCCTGATCACATAGGCTAGTGTTCTAAACATCCAGACTATGTAAAAATAGCCATGTGACATGTACTTCTGTATACACTACTCTTTTTTGAAACACGGAAGGTTTTTCATCTAATTATCAAGTTAATACTTTGTGCTTAAACTCTTTTTGTCTGAAGATCTCAAGGCATGTTATAAATACTAATACTAATGAATTAAGCCTCATACATGCCTGAATTGTAGAGATTATATTTTCTGTTTAACACATGAAGGAGATTTTGAGATTGACCAAGATCACACAGGAAATCTGCGGCAGAGCTAGGGATAGAACCTAAGGGTCCAATCAGTGGAAGTTCTGCCACAGACTTCAGTGGGGACAGCATTTCACCCTAAACCGCTTGACTCCCAGTTTTGTGCTATAACTGCAAGGCCATCTCTCCTGCTCTTATGTATTTTCAAGACACATTTATTAGAAGTACTTAACATTTTGCAGAAACTACTGTGTTTTTACTTTAACCATTTCAGATATCTGGAAGCCGTCAAGATTTAGGTCCCCCGTACAACCTTGGCAGTCAAAAGGTAAATATTTAAAGCAATTTGTGGCCTTTGAAGAGACGATTAGGGAGAATCTCCTCTTCCTTTTTGTGGTGTGTGGCCCCAAAATCAACCCCATCGCTGACTATAAAAATATATCATTGGGACATGGTTCAAAAGTAAGCTTGTTTAAAGATCAAAGAATTACCTTTGAGAGACGTCGCAAGGCCTAGATAGACAACAGGGCCTTCCCATGACCTGCACAGTTCGTGTGTGTGTGCATAAATATATATGTATATGCATATGGAGAATAGAAGGTGAGAAAGGAATTTTAATGCATAATGCAATGGTGTGAAGAAATCGAGTTTTCATATACGGTCTAGTGTCGATAGTTAAATATCTGTTCCATGTAGGAAATGCTAAAACATCTGCAAGTAATGAATTGCTTATAGCCGCATCCATAGAAATGTCCCGCGGTTTCTCATTAAAATACTGTACTTCATTTTAAGCATTGAGAGAAAAATTCATTATCTGAATTTTCACTGTTTTTGTTTCCTCCTCCCTCCCCACCTTCCTCTCATGATATCCCACATTGCATGCTTCAGAATTCAAAGGTCCCAGCAGAGGTAACTAATGCATTAGGTCCACCTAATGAGTGAGATAAAATTATTATCCCACTATAGTTACTATATTGTTCTTACTTTAAATTCCTTTGCTTTAAAATATTTCTGCGTTGAAAATACAGCCATTATGCCTCATTTTCATAAGAACGGCCATACTGGTCTCTCTAGTGTCCAATGCGCAGTACTTCAGAGGGAATGATCCGAACATGACAATTATCGAGTGATCCATCCCCTGTCATCCACTCCCAGAGCATGGGGTTGCATCTCTGGCCATCTTGGCTAATAGCCATTGATGGACCTATTCTCCATGAATTTATCTAGTTCCTTTTTGAACCTAGTTTTGTCCTTCACAGCATCTCCTGGCAACAAATTCCACAGTTTGACTGTGTGTTGTGCCTTTTGTTTCTTTTAAACCTGTCCCCTATTAATTTCATTGGGTGACCCCTAGTTCTTGTGTTATGAGAAGGAATAAATAACACTCTCCATACCATTCATGATTTTATAGACCTCTGTCATATTCCTGCCTTAGTCATCTCTTTTCCAAACTGAAAATTCCCAGTCTTCTTAATCTCTTCTCATATGGAAGCTGTTCCGTACCCTTAATCATTTTTGTTGATCTTCTCTGTACCTTTTCCAATTCTAATCTATCTCTTTAGAGATGGGGTGACCAGAACTGTATGCAGTATTCATGGTGTGGGCATACCATGAATTTATATAGTGGCATTATGATATTTATTGTCTTATTATCTATCCCTTTCCTAATGTTTCCTAACGCTCTGTTTGACTGCCAGTTCACACTGAGCAATGTTTTCAAAGAACTATCCACAATGACTCCAAGATCTTTCTTGAGTGGTAACAGCTAAGTTAGATCCAATCATTTTATATGTGTAGTTGGGATTATGTTTTCCAATGTGCTTTACTTTGCATTTATCAACATTATTTGTATGGGCCATTTTGTTGCCTAGTCACCCAGTTTTGTGAGATCCCTTTGTACAGTAACTGTTTGCTGCCTGTTTTGGGCTTAACTATCTTGAGTAATTGTGTATCGTCTGCAAATTTTGCCACCTCACTGTTTACCTGTTTTTCCAGATCATTTAAGAATACGTTGAACAGCACAAGTCCCAGGACAGATCTTTGGGGGACCCTGCCATTTATCTCTCTCCATTGTGAAAACTAACCTTTTATTCCTACCCTTTATTTCCTGTCTTTTAACCAGTTACTGATCTATGAGAGGATCTTCCCTCTTATCCCATGACTGCTTACTTTGCTTAAGAGTCTTTGGTGAGGGACTTTATCAAAGTCCTTCTGAAAAGTCCAAGTACACTATATCCGCTGGCTCACTCTTTTGCGCATGTTTGTTGACCCACCTCAAAGAATTCTGATAGATGGATGAGGCATGATTTCCCTTTACAAAAGCCATCTAGACTCTTCCCCAACAAATTATGTTCATCTGTGTGTTCGTGCTACACTGATGCCAATAAGTAAGTCCATCGAAAACAACGATGTTATATCAACATGAAACCGTTGTAACTGAGAGGAGACTGAGTCTGTTGGATGCATCTTTCTTTTTTATGTTGTCACAAAGCTCCAGCTGTTCAGGTACAGCTGTTTCATAGTTTCGTAGAAATGTGTAATTTGTGGTGTGGTGAAGTGATCCACAGGCCTCTTCTTACTGGTTGAAACTAACTAGATGGACCTGAAACAAGCAAATGTGTTACAATCCTGTAATGGCAGCTGGACAGTGAATTAGAAGACATCACAGGTCTTTTCTACATCTAACCTCTGTGATTCTGTAAGGTTTCCATGGAATAGTCTTTCATTGTTAGTATCCAGGTGGCTCGCTCTCCCCCACCCTCACCCACTTTCACTGGGCTGGGGTAGGGGCTTGGGGTGCAGGAGGGGATGAGGGCTCTGGGGTGAGGCCAGGGATGAGGGGTTTGAGGTGCAGGAGGGAGATCCAGGTTTTGGGAGTGGGGGGGCGCTCGGGGCTGGGGTTTGTGTGTGAGGGCTCTGGGCTGCGGGGGCAGGCTCTGGGCTAGGCCTGGGGATCAGAGCTTTGGGATGCAGTGGGGGGCTCAGGGCTGGGGCAGGAGGTTGGGGTGCAGGAGGGGTCTCAGGGCAGGGGGTTGGGGCTCGGGGTTGGGACGCGGGCTTACCTGGGGCAGTTCTCGGTGAGGGGAGGGGGGGCTAAGGCAGGCTGCCTGCCTGTCCTGACACCGCGTTGCGCATGCCCCAGAAGCAGCCAGCAGATCCGCCGCTAGTAGGTGGGGGGACAAGAGGTTCCACGTGCTGCTCTTGCCTGCCACAGTCACTGCCCCCACAGTTCCCATTGGCCGGAAACCGGCCAATGGGAGTGTGGAGCCAGTGCTTGGGGCGGGGTCAGTGTCTGGAGGCCCATGGCCCCCCCGCCTAGCAGCTAGACCTGCTGGCCGCTTCCGGGGCGCAGCGTGGAGCCAGGACAGGTAGGGGACTAGCCTGCCTTAGCACCGCTGACGGAACCTTAAACGGCCCAGTCAGTGGTGCTGACCGGAGCTGCCAGGGTCCCTTTTCAACCGGGTGTTCCAGTCAAAAACCAGACACCTGTTCACCCTAGATGGGACAGAAATGGTAGGAGGTTCTCTTGCAGCCACCAAAACAGGCACTTTGGAAATATTCGAACCAGGAACCAGAATGGTCTTACAGCAAGAGCTGGCTCTTCATTTCTTTGCACATAGGTGGGTGGCAGCACTTCAGAGTAAGAGATTGGGAAAATCCTTTGCCAGGAGTGGAGCAGGAGAGTGTGTGTAGTGGCGCTTTTTAGAAATGCATTCAAAATTAGCCGTGCATACCGACATCACAGGCATGCACAGATTTTTACAATGGGCGGCTTCTGAAGAGTTAACCCTCTATCGCCCCTTTGACCGAGACCTTTATTTAAAATCTGTTTAGGGGAATCACTTGTGGGCTTCATATTTTTTTAACGATGCATTATGGAATTAAACCATCCAGTCGGGATAGGGAGGAGGGAGACACTACTGTCCTAACATCAAAAGACAATAGTTACTCCAGCTTTATACCCTGATAACAGAGCTGCATTTGGTCCCATCTCTGTCTTTCAGTTATATCTGCTTGCTTTAGAGAGGACAAGCCAATTTTCTACTACAGAGCTGATATGGTTTTGGGGGAGAGAGAGGAATTCTATTAGATCTTACACATCAATACAAGTGCCAGATGAGTTATGATTTTAGAATCTTTCACTGGTCATATAAAATACAGCTGGATTTTTAGATCCCAAGTCACTTGCAACGGCTGTTAACTCTGGGGGTTTTTTTGTCTTGTAAATTGAGCAAATTGGATATGGAGTCAATGAGAGGGACCAAATATGGAGTCTGACCATATTACAGTCATTCCTCTGACTATAACCAAACAGTGATAAAATTCTTTACAAGTAGGCCCTAAAATATGTTGTTAATGATATCCATTCTATCCTGGTCGTGTCTGTCTCCCTTTGAAATCTGTGGGAAGCTGCTGCCTATGTTGTATCTCAAAGGCGTGTGGGAAGGCAGGGCCACTTGAGCCTAAACCCCAGTTGGCACCAGTGATAGTTCTCTAGGTTGTATCAAAATAGATCAGTGCAAATTAGTGCACTCTCCTATTTATTACAGCAGACAGGGCTAGGAATGGGGCTATGGTAATATTTAAAAACTGCGACTACTTTTTCGTAAAGTTCTTTCTGAAAGCTTGGATAGATGAGACACTAAGGCTTTCATTTCTGTGGTCTACTGGCAGCATTTTAACAGCCTGCCAACTGGGAAAAAATAGTTGAGGCTGGTGAAGCCTAGAGAACACTTTTAGGAAATAACTCATAATATTTGCTACAAGACTCCTGTGCACATTGGGGCTGACTCCAAATAAGCTTCTTAGAATTCTTTCTGGAGGATAAGAGTGCTACATTGTCGAGTACCAGCAGAGAAGAAAGAAAGCAATGGGAAAATATTCCAGAAATCAGTGGAACATTTTAGAAACAACCCTGTATCAAAACATGGCAGGGAACATGTGTTCTTCCAGTGGCCATTTTTGATTTGCTAAATTAAGTCCGTTGACCTTGGTGTTCAGTCATTTGGCAGTGACCATGTACTATGTACATGGAGCTACAGCTCCTTCAGACAAAGGAAGTATCAGCACTTTCCCCTTCCCCTGCCATCCTTCTTGATGGAAACTAAAGTTTCACAGCCCTGAGTCTAACCAGTTGGCATTAGTTACAAATTTAGATGTTTCAGTCAGTAAATGTACAAAACAAGTGAGAGCCATGTCTAATAAACATACATGAAACTTGGGAACTGCATCAAGTTAATATATAACATACTCTTGCATTTTTTCTGTCCACGGTACAAATCTCTAAATAGCTTTTGGTCACTGAACAAGTTTATATTCATATTGTATAGGTCTTTTCCCTTCCATTTACAGTTGAGCATTCTTTCCCCCCTCCTTTTACCTCTGTACTCTTTGGGGAATATTATTTGGTCCCTTGGGTTCTGTTATCCACTCTATACTGATCTGTTCTGTTGGCAATACACCTCTTAATTCTCTGACCATTAGAGTAGCTCCACCTGCCACTAGAATATCTCCTCTTGGATGGCTTGCTGGCATCTCAAAGTCAATGGGTCGTAGTCATCCTGATTAATCTTGCCTCGTGTCCAAAACTGGGGTATTCTTTCCTCTCTCTTCTTACACATGCTCACTGCTAGGAACTACTATTCTTCAAATACTTGTACATGTGGATGCCATTCTAGGAGCATGTGCCTCCCCACGATCCTGAGGGCATAAAGGATGGAATGGGCCCAAATGCCTCTGTTTCTTCTTATCACCTATGGCAGTAGGACAGAACTTGTGTCCACCTGCTACCCCTTAGCACTTTTCTGTTAGTTAGAAGCAGTTGAGTTCTTAACATTTCACTTTATTTAGCCCATTGGCAAAATAATAGAAATAGTGTTTTAGAAAATCTGAGACTCTTCAGTACTGACGCATTGACCTTATAGCTGTGGCACAGTTTCCAGGCTTTAAGTCTTGCTCTTCCTATGAGGCAGCAATGCCCCTGAATGATGGGCATTCTAAAGGCCTCTTTTGCCTTGGAGAAGACCCCATTCCTGACAAGTGCTCCATCTGTAAAACTTTCTCCAAATGGATCCAGAAACCCTGAGTCACTTGGATGAAATTATTTCTATTGGAGCAATCAATGAAGTGCACTTTTGACTCAGAGAATCATGAGTTGAAAGATGATTCAGCTATTCATAAATTGCATTTGGCCAATGCTCTGATAAGCTATCCCTGGTACCTGTGTCTCCATAGCTACCAAAAGGCCTCAGACCTTGTCTAGAGGTAGCAAATGATCAGTACAGACCTCTATGGGTCAGTCAGTTGCTCCTGCTGACTGGCAGAAATGAGCACTATTCTAAGACCCAAACATAGCATCAATCACCTTTCCTGGTACCATCAAAGCACAGTTCCTTCTTCAAAGCCTGACCTGCAACCTGGATCAGTTCTACTGCCTGATGCATGCGCTTTGGCACTGGCACCGTGGCAATTGAGCTCTGGCATCAACCTTTCTATATTGGTACCAGCTACCTCATTACCATCTGCACTGATGATGTTCTCGCTGGTGTGAGAGATGAGACCCTCACTGGCCTTGATCTCTATGGTACCCCTTTCCTCAGTACCGCCTTCTTCAGTACTGTCTGTATTTACAATTTCTAGAGACCTAGTTATCATGCCTGAACTAAAATATCCTCTTAACTAAATAAATTAGCCCCACCATCTCACATTAAATCATGATCTACTAGGGCCCAAGCAACCTCACTGGCATTCTTGAGGAAAATTTCTGTATCAGAAATATGCAGGGCTGCCAGTTAGAGGCTCAGTGCATGTTGTTATTTAGCACTCATTATTACAGATGTTGGATCTGGTGTCCAGTTTGGTAAGGTGGTCCTGCAATCTTTATTTAAGTAGGACTCCAAGCTCCCACCTCCTTAGGGCGATAAATGCTAGCTGATCACCTAGGGTGGGATTTATGTGGACAAAAACTTGAAAAACAATGGTCACTTATGGTAACTGTGGATGTTTGAGATGTTGTATCCACGTGGATTCCACAACCTGTCCTCCTTTCCCACTACTGTGGAGTCTTTTAGCTTTGGGGTTCTGTATTGGCAAAGGAACTAAAGCAGTTGGGCCTGCTCCACCCTTTATGCCTTTGGGGGCGGAGGCCACAAAAATCTGTGGTGAGCAGACATCGTACCAAAGTGCACATAGGGTGCATGCAAACCTAAATGGGATCCAAGTGAACAGAACTTCTCTAAGAACACTTACTGTACAGCAAGTCATTTTTCTTCTTCAACATCTTCCTTCCTTTAGTGCAGGCCCTCTCTAGATCCTGCCACTTAGTATCTCCACATTTCATCCCTATCTGCAATGCTAAAACACTAACCCGTTCTCTAATTACTTCTCTCCTTGACTGCTGGGTTTCTGCCATAATCCAGTTTCTTTTTCTTCTATCTCTCTTCCTTTCAGTGTATAGAACACAACAAGCAAGGTCATCTTCGTTTCTTGCTGATCTTATCTCCTGTCATACTACTTGAACCTATGCACTAGCTTTCCCTTCAGCCCAAAGATCAAGGCTGTCCACATCCATCTATTCTCATTATCTCCTGCTCTCTCTCCCTTTCATGCAAACTTCACTCTTGAATGCTACTTTAGAAGGCCACAAAGTCTTCCTAGATTTTTGGGTTAAAAGGTGCCAGTATGATCATCTAGTCAGACCTATGCATTATGATAGAATTTCACTCAGTGATTCTTGCAATTAGCCCTCAGTGGTTGTAAGCGGACAAAGGAGTCTGCCAGTGTCAATGGGAGTTGATGATGCTCAGCCTCTTGTGAGACTGGGCATTCAATTCAACTGAAAACATTTGGGGGCATGGGTTCTATCCTTAGTTTTGCACATTCTGCGTACTGCGAAGCGTTGTATATGCTGGCATGCTGTATAAGTATTAGCAGACTCCTACTCTGCACAATACTTTTGAAAATATAAACTTACTTTTCTTCTAGGGTCGATGGGAGAGCCAGCAAGATGTATCCCAAATTTCAACACATTCTGGTAGTGGGATGACCCCGTCTGATACATCTTTGTCAGGCTCTCCTCAGCAAAACCATTCTAATGATCCAGGTAACAGCTTTCCCAAAGCTAAATCGGCTGTGGTAAAAGTTTAGAGTGAAACATTCTATTTGGAACGGCCGGAGAAAAGGGGGCGGAGGTAGTCTCTCTGAATGTACAGTTGGAATTTTTTTTTTAAAAGAATACCTACTGAGTTCTACCATTGTGCTCTGTACTGTGCAAACAGACATTGAGCATCAGTAAGAACTTGACATTCACTGTCCTGAGTATCTGCCCTAACCGTTGTCTTTCTTTACTTTGATATGGGGAAACTGCAGTTCTGCAAACCCTGGCTGGTATGCAAAGTGTTCAGTGGTGCCCACTGTTTGTGAAGACACTGTCCTTGCCTCCAGAAGCTTACATTCTTAAATAACAGACAAAGCAATTCAGACACATAGTAATATACCATAGGTTATGCAAGTAAAATTGCAAAGGCTGCAAAGCTACCAATGTATTAGAAAATAACGAAGAAAGTGCAGATTGGGGTGAATATTTTGCATATAGAGCCCAATGTATAATGGAAGAGTGCAGTGATAAAGTTGTCTGTTTTTATGTACTGGTTATAACTAGTGTTTCTCAAGGGGGATGAGCAGAGTGACAGCAGTAGAGTAAAGGAACAGGTGTGAGCTGGGAGAGCTGCATGACCCTGGTTATGTACCAATGCAGTCAAGATTACTTAATTCTAATCCATGTTGCTATTTCTAGGGTGTGATTTAGTAATCAAGTTTACCTTGTTAAAGTTTTGCACTTGCGTAGTAATATTTTATCATCTGTGTGGCTTGTTCCTGGATTTTTAAATTCTACTACTGCGATTCTTAAAGCATTTAGTGTTTCCAAATCCTTGTATGTATATTAAGTCTTGGCATCCTATGTAAGAGAGGGAGCTCTTATCCCTGTTTTACAGAAGGGCAAACTGAGCCTCAGAGAGTTTGTGACTTGCCCAAGATCACACATTAATTCAGTGGAAGAGCTGGAAATAGGAACAGGAGTCCTGACTACTAGTCCTTTGTTGTTCTGACCTCTAGTCAACTCCCTCCCTGGTGCAGATTACAACATTAGAAGGTTCATAGATTTTCTATTGTGAAAGAACTGCAGCTGTTGATTACACTTTTTAAAAAAAAACTTTGTTGACAGGACTCAGTAGCCTGGCTGCCTCCTACCTGAATCCAGTAAAATCCTTCGTGCCTCAGATGCCAAAGCTGCTTAAGTCTCTCTTTCCTGCTAGAGATGAGAAAAAGGGCAGGCAGACCTCTCCTCTTGCCCAGCAGGTAAAAAATACATATACATACACATACATACACCCACCCCCCAATATTGGTGAGCACTGTTATAATGACTTGCTGGCAGAAAGCTGTTTTGTATGTTGCTGCAGGGCAAACCAAGCTTTTAGTCATAGTAAAAGCTTATATGATACATTTCCCCTCCACAGTATCCAGAGATAGTGGAGCTGTTTTAACTTATTGATACTCTCAGCCCACTTGGCTTTTTTAAAGTGCCAAGTGCGCTACTAATGTGATTTATGGTAATACCACTTGCAGCAACAATAGTAAAATTTATGAAGTGCACTTAGTGTTGTTTGTCTATTGCCAAGTGGAAAATGTAATTCTATTTTTAATTCCTGATTTCATTTCCCATCACCCACCCTTTAGCACCTTTTCCCTCCGACTTGTGCAATGTACTTGGAGCAGTAGTTTTTATTTCTATCCCAGTCTATTCCACATGCCCGAGATGCACCTCATCTTTTTCATATGCTTGTAAGTCCCCACCTGTTCCAGATTCAGCCCTTGTGCTCCAGGTAGCCACCAATGCATAGTCAAATATCAGAAAACACTATCCTTTATTTTAGATAGAGACAGACTTGTTGAAAATGAGATCTTCAACTTTACAGGCACTATCTTATTTTATATAAATAGCTGGAGTTGTTTAAAAAAAAAGCCTCTTCATTGTGTGTGACTCATGTAGTATGGGAGAATTTGCAGGAGTGAAAAGAATAGAGTTCTGTGTATTTATTTTAAACAAAAACCTGGAGCCAGATCTTCAGTTGTTATAAATCAGTGAAGCTCAGTTTGGCCTATGGTCTGTTAAGGTACTTCTGTAATGCAAAAAAAATAATCCCATGGTAGCAAGACTCAGAGCCCAGGTCTACAGACTCAGGCTCATGCTACAGCACTAAAAATAGCTGTGTAGACGTTCCGGCTCGGGTCTGAGACCCACCCTACTTACCGGGATTCAGAATCTGAGTTCCAGGCCGAGCAGGAATGTTTTCACGGCTATTTTAGCGCTGTAGCATGAAAACCACAAGACTGAGTCCATAGACTCAGGTCCTGAGACTCCCTGATGCAGGGTTGGTTTGTTTTGTTTTTTCAGTGTATACATACCCTGAAGTTGGAGGGCTCTGTCCCCTCAGATTTGGTGCTTCAGGCTTACACGATCAGGTAGCTTAGAACCCCAAATTTAGGTTCAGTTTGAAAATACGCATGGGCAGGTAGTGAGAGTGTGTGAAAAGATGTATACTAGAGAGACAAGGTGGGTGAGGTAACATCTTCTATTACCTCGCCCACCTTGTCTCTGTAATATCCTGGGACAGACACGGTTACAATGACACTGCGTACTCTCACTTTCAGAAATGTTTTCATGAATTTTGTTTAACTTCCATGAAACGCTTTTTGTGGTAGGGATTCAAACATTCCTGAAAAATGGAAAATCAGAAAGTGAAATTAACCACATTCTTGTCTTTGTTCGAGCCAAGAGAAATACAGCAAGGAAATGAAGAGCATAAACTGTGGAAAAATACATTAAAATATTAAATATTCTTTCTGTTTTAACAATCTTAGATGATATAAACACAGATAAGGATGTCTTTAAAAAATAACCTTTTTAATGAGAATGTTCCTTTAAGCAGTCACATTGCATAATGTGTCTTTTCTCCCTAAAATAATGAAAACAAAAAAAACCATAGTTTACTCCCAGTTTTTATCCTAATAATGATGTTTCCACCTATACACTACCTTTCATCCAAGAGTGTTGAAGTGCTTTACAACAGCCGTGGCAAGGAGATAACCACTCTGATTTCAGTTTACCTGGCTGTAAAATGGGGATAATAAAACTTAGAGGGCCAAATTTTTAAAAGTATTTTAGGTGCCTAAAAATGTAAATAGGTGCCTACTGAGATTTGTAAAGATGCCTAAGGGCTTGTATGCTCAGGGGCACTCAGGAACGTTAATCTGAATTAACTAAAGGTGTGAATTTTAAATGGGTTAAACTCCCTTAAATCCCTGTGTGGACAATCTCATTCAGAATTAAAGATAAAATAGCTAAATTAAACTAAATTGAATTAAGGTTACTTTAATTCTCAATGAGAGCTGGGCTGGCTCCAAGCACCAGCTTAACAAGCAGGTGCTTGGGGCGGCCAAGGGAGAGGGGCGGCACCTGCGGCAATTCGGGGGCGGCAGGTCCCTCACTCCCTCTAGGAGCGAAGGACCTGCCGCTGAACTGCCGCTGCCGATCGCGGTCTTTTTTTTTTTTTGCTTGGGGTCGGCAGAAATGCTGGAGGCGTCCCTGAATGAGAGTACATACACAGTTCAATGAAGCCACTTAAAATTCACACCTTTAATTAATTTGGATTAATTTTCGAGTGTGTCCCTGGTTAAACAAGCCTTAAGTGAATTGCCTGAAGTTGCACTGAATCAATGGCA